GATGAATTGGACACCGGCTCCGAATGGATTGTGGTTTTTGCACACCGCCCGCTGCTTTGCGGCTCAGGCTTTGGTTAACCGAAGGCTACGGTTGTGAATTCCCTAAGAAAATCCACCTGCCTTGGCCTGGGCAACCTGGCAATATTCGACCAACTTGCAAATCGTGGAACGTTTTTCTTTTTATGAAGATTATTGTACCACGATTTGTTTGGCACAGTCTGGCATCAGGCGTGTGAAATTTATATAATATATAANACAGCACACTGATTCGCCATCAGCGACGCCAATTATTTCCATTTCCATTTAATTTTGTCATAGATGTAATTCTTGAAACAACCCTATTCTCGTGCCCTGAGAGCGGCATCAATTTTCTCCCAGGTAGTAGATTATCTGATAACGGGTATGCAGACGACATTGTGCTACTAAGTGAAGATTCAGGTAAATTGCAAGCTTTTTTGGACAGTTTTAGTGCTAATGCAGCCATGTTCGGTATGTGTTTTGCACTATCAAAGTGTAAAATGCTGCTCCAAGATTGGGTTGGCTCAGCCCCCAACTGCACTCTAACTGGGGGAAGTAGATAAATTTTGTTATTTGGGCAGCTATATCTCACCTGGCGGTTGCATCGCAAATAATGTATCGGTACGCATACAGAAGGCTCGTTTGGCATTTGCCAAATTGAGAAGCCAAACACAACGCTACTTCACAAGCACTAAAGATGTCACCTCGGCTGGTGATAAAAGGTTTGTGAACAAATTGCCAAGCTCGGCAAACGGGGGCAGAAATGAATTACCAATGCATTCTATTCGATTAAGTGATTTGATTCACCCTTCCCCCCCCTCACTCACTCACTCTTCCGATGGGAGATGAAAGCGATTAAACTTATTCGGTTGACTTGGAACTAGTTAGAGACGTTCGAAGTTACGGTGAGCATTCGATCAAAGTCGAACGAGTGCACTTTCTCCTCAGGTCAGATTTCAGTCTCAGAATAGCTCACAATTCCAGGGTAAGCTGTAGAAGAGGTGCTCCCGGTAGGGCTAACAGTATTTCGAGGTACCGCCCCGGAACGAGTGATCGAATCCCGCAATAACTTGCTTAATTAGGATTGAATCTAAGTGAGGCGCTACAAAGCTGTGACTGTTTTATTTTACATTTTTGACTGCATAATCTTTTTAATGAAACCTAAGAGATCGATATTTCGTAATTAGGTCTTGTGCTTAACCATTACGATAATGTGTAAGAGTGGTCATTGTCATTCACATAGAAATGAGGGGAATTCGAAGACATACGAGGTTTAAAGTACTTCTTCCGTGGTATACGTAAACAGATTGTAGGAAAGTGTGACTGTGGTTGAAAAAGAGTCTGTTTAAATATTATTTTCAGAGGAGCAGGTTATTAGCATTTTACTCACTTTAAAGCACAGTGCACATGCGGGCAAATAAGTTGTCTCATCCACAAATCTACAGAAAATTTGATAGTCTATGACCTGGCCGTCGCACCTCTGGTACCGCGTACTCGACGCGAGCGACATTAAACATTTACGTCAAGCACCCATCCATCAATTACGACCGCATGAAAACATATATACCGCACCCATTCATCTCGTCTGTGCCACTTCGTATACGCACATTTCGAAATTTACTGCAGATTCACGCCTCACTATTTATTTGGGTAAAACTCACTTCAGTGTCACGCGGTGTTGCATACAATGGTCCACACAATCACGTGAGCTGCTAAGGGCACTGTCCTGATTGAGGTAATAGTTGGAACAAGTCAGCGTCAACAGCATGCGAAGCTAGAAGTGATAACAACCAATTATTTTGCACTGGAAAATGTCACACTGATTTTAGGTATGTGAGATTTTGATTTTCACATTGCATACGAATCAGGAGATGCGGGAAACCAACACAGAGTGGGTTCTCAGCGCTCTTGATGTGAACGTGAAGAATGCCAAACGCTGGACTCTCCGGTTTTTACAAACGCAAAGTCTATACACGGGATTCGTTGTCATATTGACGGCAAAAAGTTAAATGGTTTCCCTTCTGAACCCCTTCTACACAATCCAAACCATAATACTGTTCCGGTTAGAACTTTCTCTCACGGCGTGAAACAGCACGATTTAAACGCCGGATGCCCAAGAAGGTTTCTTTTCTTCTTCAGAGGGCACAGAATGAAAATGAAACTTGATTGAACAGAGAGATTGTATCAGTGGCGTACAGAAGGTTATGTAGAATGATGAAGCCCGGTTCACTCTGAAACTCTGTGACGAAAGAATTCATGGGGCACTGACAAGCCCATTCGTTTTCGGATTGATTTAGGTATGCTAATTTCGAGGAGTACAATTTTTGAGTCGCATCGTATTGTTATATTTTCGGGGG